GTGGTCCAGGTGAAGCTGATAAGAGTCTTCCAGATTGAATTTTCAGTTACGCTTCATGTGTTTCTCATATAACAGGTTTTACTGCACCATGCAGCCTAACAAAGTTTCACAACATTTGGAAGAGAAACAATCCCGAAGCATCACAGGTCCTACACCACACCTAACAGTGTGATACTTTACTTCAGATCCACAAAGAGGATTTGTTGCTTAAAAGCTTGATCAAAATCTAATCTGACCGAAGCACACAGGTATTAAAATCTCAGTATCTGAAAAAAAGAGTTCAGATACTGCTCAAATCAAATCAAATTCAACTTAGATTTTATTTTTTTATTTTCAAACAGATCAATTTACCAAGTAGCCTTGATGAATCTATTTAATATGCATTTAAAAACCACAAAAATAGAAAACAAACAGTTACTACCTATCCTGATGAATTATGGTCTCAATTTAATGATTTATGTATTTTTTTAAGTATGACATGATATTTGTAAGGCTATATTTTTTAAAATTTTAAGTTTTTTTTTTTTTAAATGGCTTAATAGTTGCCTTCAAGTTTGGACATGGACATGCAACATTTGCAAGACTTTTCACGGTTGTTGTTTTTTTAAGTCTCTTCTAGCTAAATGTGTCAGGTTGGGTTAAGATTTGAAGAGGACCCAAATGTAGAGACTGAAGCTGAAATGGTTTCTTGCAGATTTAATAACAAAAAGGGTAACAGAAGCAAAAATCCACAAACATAATCCACAAAATCCAAAAATACTGAAAACCAAGAATACTCACAACAAGGGCAAATAAATGATGATGAACCAGCAGTGACTGAGCAGGTCGGTGTATATAAGAGACACAGAAACAAAGACCAGACTAATCAGCAGATTGGGAGAAGGTGTGGGCAGATGAAGCTAGGGGAAGAAAGAGTGAAACAAGAGGGCAATAGAGGGCAAGCAAGAAATATCTAAGAACACTAATACAATTAAAAATAACTAGAATAACACAAAATGGAAATAAAACCAATGAAAACTCAAAGATAAAACTTAAACAGAACCAAAACCATGACAAAATTTTACTCAGCATATAATTTGTTTTGTTATTTTGTTTATAGTTTCTAAGCTGTTAGGTTTTCCTTTGATCGTTTATATGGATCTTTAGGTTCTGTGTAGATCAAGTTTCCACTGCATTGTTCCCCATTAAATGGGGCTTTCCTGAAGCACAGAAGATGCACATTTTCCAGTAAAATAGGTTCTGCAGCACATCCGACTTCCACATTTCTGATGTCAGGAGAGAAAGCTGTTTTCTAGTATCCCACCTAGACAACAAGTTTGCATCTGGACGGTATCTGCTGATTGATAGAGAAATGAATCCAAGATGTCACTCTATGCAGCTCTAAGCTTGGGTCAAAACATTTACTTCATTTAAAAACTTTCAACATATCTCTACCTGGGGTTCACACCTGTAGATGTTTTATAAATCTTGTAACGGCTATTTTGTTTTTCTTCTTTTTGTTACTAGTGACTTCCTTTTCCCTGAATAGCAGAGATGACATTTAGGAAAACCGTCAATTCTTACTGTGACTCAATACAAACACACATGTACTCAAATAGACTCTAAACAGCAGCCTGCAGGCATCAACATGACTCATTATGCACAAGCATTTTATTTGCTGACCTTTGAACCTCTGCTTGGCAGATTGGAAAAATGTTCAAGGATGAAATAATCACTGTTTAACCTGGGTTCTATTTGTTTTTAATCAAACTGTTATTTTAAAAGCTGAAATTAATATTTTTTTAATGAGATCTTTCTGTCATATCCTGTGGATTCACCAATACTTTTAACCATGATGTAAATCCTGGTTTTCCGTAGAGCTGGGATTCAAATTGGTATTTGGTATTTCTTTGTTAAAATCAACAAAATGCAAGAAGGACTGCGTTTTTTATTACATGCAATTGTGTTGACTTGAGAAAAATCCAGTAAAACAAGAAACAAGCTTGAATTATCTCTTGCTCTGGGGGATTTTGTGAGGAGCATTGTTGGAACACATAGACTCTCTCTGCCTCGGTACTGGAGTCAAAAGAAGTGTTTCATTTCAGCATCACTACCAGTTGGAAAGCTTGCTTTTGCCATAGAAACGTCACCCACTCACACATTTGTGAAGGCTTGTGTGCCAGCTGAAAGAGGTTGCATTTGATTTTATGCATCTGCAGCTCATTTTAAGTGACTGGAGAAATTTTACTGTTTTTTTGATTTGCAACCTCTGTCCATGGTGCTGAATCCATTCCTTTTGACATTCCCTGATAAGCAGATAGACATTGTTAAGCTGTTGCACGAAGATGCACAAATGCTGCTGTTTTTTTATGCATTGCCACCAAAAAAGATCTTTATTTGTGCATCTGTGTTTGTCTTTGTCACACCTGAGAAATGAAATCTTGAAGGGAAACATGCTCTCCTGTTAGTCAGGTCAGAGTGCAGGATGCTGCTCTCCTCTGCTGCATGCCAATGAGAGCCTGTCTCTACATAAAGCAATGTGCATCTTCTCTGCTGTTGATAGAAAAACCTATTTTGGGATGGAGATGGCCCTAAATCTTTGATTAGGAGGCGGCGGGTTAAATTAATTGACATTTCTTCGGCTGTTTCTCACTACTCACACCGCTGCAGATGTTAATTCCCTGGGTAGTATTGACGCCGTAGCCTGAATTGTTCACTCAAAGCTGTTAGAGCCTGCCAAGAAAGCCACTGTAGGATTATTTTAAGGTCTCCCCTGATATTGGTTATTTAAAGCACATAACCAGAGGTGTTTACTACGCTTTAGCATTAAGCTGTCCTTTTCATGCAGTTTTCAAGAGCTGCAGGGATTGTTTTCCTTTTAAATAATAATGTATAAGCTTGTCCAGGGACCAAACCTCTTTTCTTGTTTTCTCTTAATACCAAGAAGGATTATTTCGGGATCCTTATCTAACTGTGGAGTGTGCAGTGGACTTAGTCACTTTCCCCCTTGATACTACATGTGCAGGTTTTAACATTTTTGCAGCTTCTCTGCACACAATGGCTACATTATATGTGTAGGAGTCTAACTGGATTGCTCAAAAGCAGTGAGTCAACCTTCAGTAGGTGCCAAAGTTTTTTGCCTCCCTGTGCCTGGACCCAGCAAACTGTTGGATCTCATATGATTTTCATATAAAAAGCATGACTCTGATTGCTTTAATAATGGGGAACTTTACTATGTAGCAGTAATCCTAAAACTAAAAGAAACATTCAGTTTAATTGTCATTCTACACCTGCAAATTCTTCCACATTATTTTTATTTTGTGTAGAGGGTTGTGGTTCTCTGCATGAGCTGCAGAGATCCACAACAATGTTGGAGGACTTTTTCAGAACTATCAACTATGCAATTGCCACAGATTCTCTATATGAGACAGTTGCAAGAAGAGAAAGTAAATACACTGCTATGAAGTTAAATTTAAACTATGCAACCACTCATGTAGAAACCAGACATGTAGGAAATGGTGATCTGGACAGATAGAACCAAAAATTTTGCTTTCTATCTCAGATGGAAAATTGTATTTCTGGCAGAAAACTAACAGCATGTGGGTGAAGCTAATGACTGCTCTGGAAGAAAAAATAAATAAACTAAAGACTACAAAAGATTTGATACTGAATTTGGGCTTCAGCTTTCAACTGAAAAACAATAAGAAATACAGAGCCTGAGCTACAATGAATCAAAGCATGATTAGCATGGCCAAGTCAGTCTACACCTACATCTAATTAAAACACAGGGACTCAAGGACTGGATTTATTTCAGCCAAACTACAATGATTTACCATTCTCCTTTTAGGCCACATTAACTACTCTCTTTGGCTGTAACATAAAATATACCTCAAGAGCTGATATCCAAAGAAGGGGAAAATGTACATATTAAATTGAGCAGGAAGCACTTCCAAAGCTATTTTTGTGTTCATGGCTTCATTGATATGTGAATCATATTCTAATAATCCAACTGAAACAAATCTGAAACTTAAAAACAATTTTGGTATTTGGTAAAAAGAAACTGCTTATCAAATGTAAATGAATTGTTTCAATTGATCTCAGGTAATTGAATTAAGTTTGCCCAAATACATTTATATCTTATACTTATAAACTTGAAAACATACGTTTGATCAACTGGATTCAATAACTTGTCACCAATTGAAACAATTTATTTAACTGGATCAGTGTAGAACAATGACAGTTGATGGAGAGAGATTATCTGTGCATGTAAACATATTTATCAGAAATAACAAGAAATAGAATAGACCAACAGAAATTAATTCATCCGGATGGGAGGCAATCATTACACAATTAAACCAAAGCAAAAAAAATGACAGAATCGTGACACTACTATGACATGAAAACTAGTCAAATATTTCCAGTCACCAGAGAACATCCGTACAGTAGAGCAGAGTCTTGTTTTATTGAATTATCATGGGCCTACATTGTTTTGCAGTATATTACATCAGCCAGCCGTTGAGATGAGCTGTTGGAGATCAAATTTAGGAGTTTAGAGCCTAATCTGCTTTAAATATGACTGTGACTGCTTCTCTGTTGGGGGGTGATGGTAGAGGCAATAAACAGACAAAGACTACTTTCCCATTTTTTTTTTTTTACATTTTTTTTTGTATTTTATATTTAACTCTAAGTTTAGTTATTTTTGCTTTTTTCTCTTCTTAGCTTTGTAGCACTTTGACAAAGCTTACTTATTTTCATGTTCTTTTGCATTCACGTTTAAACTTCCTCACTCAGTCAGTTCATTTCCATAGAACACATTCCAAAGCGATTTGCAGGTCTTATTCTTTTCATAAGCAACCTTTATTGATCAACTACAACACTTCCACTTATTGCACATGCACATTTTTGCACTTTGTATATTTAAAAATCCCCCCAAAATGTAATTAATTCCAACCATGAAAACAAGTTTATCTAAAGCCTTTCCTAAAAACCATAAAAAAATGTGTTTTCTGTTTTCTTGCAGAGGTACTGTCTAAGGACTTTCAAATGTGACATATTACCAATCCAACATTAGATGACTCCAAATATGATCATGTCTTCACACAAGTGCTCCATAATTTTACTCCGGCCCGCCACTCCATGGATGTTTATCACCTTTTTATTGGTTCTTCTTCCTGGAGTCACTCATCTCTCCCACGGCAGCTCGAGCCATGAAGACATCAGCGACGCCCCGAAAAACTGCTCCAGCGAGGACAATTGTTCGGAGGGAGTGGTGCTGCCAATGTGGAACCCACAGAACCCTGCGGTCGGCGACAAGGTGGCCCGCGCCATTGTATACTTTGCGGCTCTCATATACATGTTCCTAGGTATGTCCATCATCGCAGACCGTTTCATGTCGTCTATCGAGGTCATCACCTCTCAAGAAAAGGAGATCACCATCAAAAAGGCGAATGGTGAAACGACGACGACCACTGTGCGCATATGGAATGAGACCGTATCGAACCTGACCTTGATGGCTCTGGGTTCCTCAGCACCAGAGATCCTGCTCTCTGTTATTGAAGTAGTCGGTCATAACTTTGAAGCTGGATCTCTGGGGCCTAGCACCATCGTGGGCAGTGCAGCATTCAACATGTTCATCATTATCGCCATTTGTGTCCACGTGGTGCCAGAAAGTGAGACCCGCAAGATAAAACACCTGAGGGTGTTCTTTGTCACTGCTGCCTGGAGCGTGTTTGCTTACATCTGGCTGTACCTCATCCTGTCTGTGTTCTCTCCTGGAGAGGTAGAGGTTTGGGAGGCAGTCCTTACCTTCCTATTCTTCCCCATCTGTGTTCTGCAAGCCTGGATTGCAGACCGCCGCCTGCTCTTCTACAAGTACGTCCACAAACGTTACCGGGCAGACAAGACCCGTGGCATCATCATTGAATCTGAAGGTGATGCCATGTTTACTAAAATGGACCTGGAGATGGATGGACAGGGTGCGAACTCACACAACAAGGATGCTCTGGATGGGATGTTGGAGGGGGTGGAGGAGGGTGGAGGCATGAGCGCAGAGCAAGACCAGGAGGAGGAGGCTCGTCGGGAGATGGCACGCACCCTGAAAGATTTAAAACAAAGGCATCCAGACAAAGATATGGAGCAGCTGATAGAGATGGCCAACTACCAAGTGCTGGTCCAGCAGCAGAAGAGCCGGGCCTTCTATCGTATTCAGGCCACACGCATGATGATTGGAGCAGGGAACATTCTGAAAAAACATGCTGCTGACCAGGCCAGGAAGGTGGTGAGCTGTCATGAGGCTAGCGGGCAGGAGGAAGATCCCAACACCATTTACCTGCAGTTTGACCCCTCTCACTACCAGTGCTTTGAGAACTGTGGTTCCCTGAAGTTGACGGTCAGTCGCCATGGAGGAGAGGCTGGCTGCACAGTTAAGGTAAGAATCCACAGCCAGTGACCTAGAGTCTTTCAGATTAATGTCCTCTTAAAACCACACATATCACTCTGCCTTTATTAGTATTTTATATGTTAGAATATTGTGTCTTAATGGAAGAGAGAGAGAGGTAATCTTATTATGGCAATGTTCTGGGTTCAGTTTAGGATTCTTTGCCTCATTAGCTAAGGCTCACCAAAGTGTGCAACCAGTTGGCATCCTGGTTCTACTTATTGCTTTAAATCCTCCGGTGTTCAGTGCAAGCTCACTATGAATCCAGGTAAACTGTGAAGGCCTAAGAGTTTTGTCTAGAGAGCATTATTAAACAATCAGCCTCATGAAGAAACAACCAACTGCTAACTTTTCCTCCCACCCAAACTGACAGGTTGGAGAGAAGAGCTTTAATCAGAAAAGCAGCAAAGACAACCAAAGCAGTTCCGGAGGATCTGCATAGATGCAGCTGTCCACGGAGCAACTGTTAAAAATTTTGCCTTTACAGATGCTTTGAAATATAAGACTATTTTATGTCTGCCACAATTCATTAAACAGTTTCAGTATAGCTGGGTGAGGGACTTCTGGTCAGATTACCATGTTTTCTGGGTGGTATTAATTTAGCCAGTTGAGAATGAGTAGCAAGCATCAAAAATTAATACCAAAAGATTATCTCCTGATAGTATGACTGAGGTTAAGGATTTTTACAAATTCAAGCAAGTATTGGTTCACAGCATACTAAGGCAGATTAACTGCAGGCTATAGTTATAGATATGTAGTTGCAGAAAGCGAATTAGTTTTGATGTCAAAATCTTCTAAACTATCAGCGTTATTTTAAAACCAGCCATAACTGCTTAACTAATTAAATATTAACAATTCAGCATTTTGCTCAAGCTCCACTCACTAAATATTTAATGAAGTTTCTTCACTGTGGCACACAGGTGGACTACAGGACTGAGGATGCCACAGCCACTGCAGGCTCAGACTACGAGTTTGCTGAGGGCACGTTGGTCTTCAAGCCTGGCGAGACTACCAAAGACTTCACCGTAGGAGTCATAGACGATGACATCTTTGAGGAGGATGAGCACTTCTACGTGCGCCTCAGTAATCCCCGTATTGTCCACCGGGCTGAGGTCTCCATCCTGGAGCCCAACTCCATCACCTCCAGCAACAGCACCGTTGGCATCTCCTCACACGTTCCTCCGAAGGCCGCCCTAGGGAACGCTCCAGTCGCCACAGTCACCATCTACGATGACGACCATGCTGGCATTTTCACGTTTGAGAGCAGCTCCACCAGGGTGAGCGAGAGCGTCGGCAACATGCAGGTAAAGGTGCACAGGACGTCCGGGGCCCGGGGGAAGGTGGCTGTGCCTTACCATACCGTCGAGGGCACCGCCAAAGCTGGGGAGGACTATGAAGAGGTCTCCGGAAAGCTGGAGTTTCAGAACGATGAGACCATGTGAGCACAAATTCCTTTATTTTTCTCAATACTGTTGCTCCACATCAATTCATTAAACATCACAGCCCACACATTAGTTAAGCTAAACAGTCCTTGCAGATTATTTTACAAAGCCTATTCTGGTAACGGATGCAGTGGCTATTTTTATGAGTCACAGATACCTTAGCTTGGAGAAATTTAGATCTTTCAGGGGGGGGAGAGGTGGGAGGATAAGAGGATATAGTTGTGCCACAGATAATGAAACAGTGTGGCAGATGTAGAAGAAGAAGAATTAGAGGCAGAGAAAGAGCACTCTGTGAACGAACAGAGAATTAAAAAGGCAGCCCGTTGGGATTTCCGCTGAGTGTCTGATGTTTCATTGTGATCCTGCATGATAGACGTCCCTGCAGAAAACAAAGGAAGAGCATGTGAAAATAGGAAGGATGAAAATCAGGAAAAGTGACTCTCAGAGACAGGGAGGGTTGAAGAAGCATCACAAACAGGTGCGTGAGATAATACCTGTGTGATTAATCCAACAAGAGATAAGAACAGAGGATCACACAGAAAGATTGTGCAACAAGCGAGCTTTGGGTCTGATGTTCTCCAGCTTTAAGTGTCTGGGTTGGCCCAGTGCTACAGTTAAAACCATATAATAAAAATACACATGGCTTTTTCTTCCTCACTGAAATTAATTCGAACTAAATCAAGGCTGTTTGAGGTTTTGGAAATCATAAAATAATCAACATTTTCTTTAGAATTCCATTAGATGCACTTTTGACTCTGTATGTTTGAATATTCCTTCACTAGCTTCTTACTATATTATACTGGTAATTTGATTAATTCTGCCTGATAGAACCAATGTAACTAAGTTAGGCTCATGCTCCCAGGCTTTCCCTTAGAAAGAACATAATATATCTGAAACAACATCTCAAAAATACTGACTCCAACATATTTGATTAACTTTGTATCCAAGGTGTCGTGATATATATATGTATATACTGGTGTCCTCTAAGATGAGTGAGTGGCATTAAAGTACATGTTAGTACGTAAATGAATACTCAGAACTTTTAAAATGTTTATGTGAATTTAGAGATTTGAATCAGAATCAGAAAAAGCTTTTTTTATGCATACACACCGTACAAACTTCATGCATACAAACACGGCAGCTGACATTAAAAAAAATTTAATATATGATTTTATAAATGTAACAATGACATATAGCATCAAATTAACGTCATTTTATATCCTAGGAGGCATTGTCCATGGGGGGCATGGGTGTTGTTAATGAGGCTGCCTGCAGATTGGTAGAAAGTAAAGACAATTATTTAACTACTCTAGAGCATATTTAAGAGATTTTTCTTTTGGTAATCCACACTGACTGAAAATGGAAAATTGGATCACATATAAAGGTATTGTGGAGGATTTTGCAAATCTTTTAAAAGACCCGCCAAAAAATGCACATGCTATAGCTCATGCAAGCTTACTGTGTCAGAACATCCGCCCTAACCCATAAATCCCTTAATCACTATATAGAGCTGGGACTATATAATGTACTTTATAGTGAACTCAGTTAACTTACCGTTTGGACAGATGATCACTACCTTTTGCTCCCCGTTGGTCATGTAACTTCTCCACTGTACGGTGCCTGCGCCATCTTTGTTGTTAGTCGCGGCTGTTGAGTAACAACAGCCTACGACGATAGCAGGCCCCATAATGCTTTGCAAGGAGAGCTCTCAACGCAAAGCATTCCGGTATATATCTGCCTCTTCTGAGGCCTTTCTTTTCTTTTCATACACTTCGTAGTCACTTTTTAACTTACGACCCTCTGCCATTTTCAAAGAACCATGCTAAGAAAGGTGAGCTTAAATGACCATAGCTCACCACAGATATATGCCTGAAAGTGCACATGCGCAGAAAAAGATAGCTACAGTAACGGGATGAGCACGTAGGACTGCCTTACGTAAACATATCACCAGAATGATTTACAATTAGGAGGACCACTTATTTAGATGATCCACCCAGAAATAAAAGATTGTCCTCTATACCTTTAATGTCAGACAGTAAGAAACAAACTGTTTAACTGTAACTACATGTGTACTGTTTATGACTGCACAAGCAAAAAACTCTTTCTCTGTTTTTTTCTAATTTTAAATAGAAACAGGAACTTCAAACATGTCAAGCTCATATCAGAGCAAGTTACAGCTCACTGGAGGACAAAAGAAAAGAATAGAATGCGTCTGAGCGAGGAGAGTTTAGGGGCCGTGTGTAGGTGGATGGTGTGGGTCGGCTCGAGTGGGAGGGAAGCCAGGTGAATACATGGTGTCAGAGAGAAAACAGAGCTCACCTAATTCCTCTTCTTCGCCTCGCAATGGAGATGAAATATGCACAGCTTACGCTGTATGATTGTACCTTTTTATTTGCTTACAATTTGCACTATACTTCGGGTTCGCAATCAAGGGCATACTTGTGCTCTGAATCCACTTTAAACCTGAAACATCAAATAAAATGCCACTCCAAAGGCAAATTAAAAAGGAACTTCTTTGGCATCCAAAGCAATTAAAGATGCTGATGAGGGATCGAGAGAGTCCCAGAAGTTCTGAGCACACTGCAGACGGTTTCAGAGGCTGCAGATAATGAGTCAGGAGTGTATAACAATGTAAGATTAGAGTTAGGCAGCTTGTATCTGAAATCAAACATGAAGATGAGCTAAGGATTAAATCTTCAACTACTGAACCACGATCATCAGGCTACAGCAAGCCTGCAGAGACACAGGCATAAGCCTTATTTATGTTGGAGTCATGCTTACTTCAGCAGTTGGAAAGATGACGGAGTGCAAGATCAAGCAGTGAAGGACAGTTTGCCATCAGAAGCTCATGAGAAGAATTCAAGTTGCATATGTCAGGGGAAATGCCCAAGCTGTGCTCAGCTTTTCCTATGCTCCTCAGATTAAAAGGCAAAGCGAGGACGCACAGGCAAGCACCAAGGCGAATGTACTTTGATCATGAGTGGAAATCTATGATTAAAATCCCCAAATATCAAGAGCCTGGTCTAATGAAGCTTCCCCCATTAAGGAACAAGATCTTGATTAGGAGAGAGAAGAAGCTGATGTCCAGAAAATGTGAGTTTTCCCTTCAGTAAATAACAAAAGGGGAATGAACAGGAATTAATAGCTTTACTGTTTATAAGTATTTACTGGGGGCTTCAAAGTGTCACACCGGGTAGAACTGCCGCCTTGCAGATAGAAGGTTCTGGGTTTGATTCCCGGCCCGGGGTCTTTATGCGTGGAGTTTGTATGTTTTCCCCTGAGCATCCATGGGTTCTCTCCAGGTAGTCTGGCTTCCTCCCACAGTCCAAAAACAGTGACTTTTAGGTTAATTGGCTATTCTAAATTTGACCTGTCCAGGTTGTACCCTGCCTTTCACACATTGCCAGCTGGAGATAGGCAACAGCACCCCTCGCAACTCCAGCAGTGATAAGCGTGACAGACAATGGACTGATTTACTGTATTTAAACTCAATGATAATTTTGACATTCTGTCACATTTCAACCACAAATTTTGATGTTTGCACAGGGAGACCTATACAATACTCCGAAATTTGACCAACTCAAAATATAGCATGTTTTCTATCGAAAACATGGTGGTGGTAGTATTATGCTGATTGGCTGGATGGTACTTAACATGCAGTCAGAGCTGGGATGAAAAGAGTCATATCAAAGCATTTTCATGTGTCTGAATGGCTCAGTGCAAAGCTACATCTGACTGAGAAGGTGGCAAGACTGGGATATTGATTTTCACAGGTTCTCCCCATCGGTTCTCATTGACCTTCAGCTACAGTATCTTGTGAAAAGAAAAGCCAAAAGATGTTAGGTTTGTGATAAGCAGAGTGGTTTAAAGGGTAGAGATGGTTGCTGTAAGCCCTTCGGCTTGGTTCTTTTCATGAAATGTCTGCATGCATTGTTTTCCTGCAACTACAGGTGCTGGTCATAAAATTAGAATATCATGAAAAAGTAGATTGATTTCAGTAATTCCATTTAAAAAGTGAAACTTGTATATTATATTCATACATTACATACAAACTCATATATTTCAGATGTTTGTTTTGTTTAATTTTGATGATTACAAATGACAACAAATGAAAATCTCAAATTCATCATATCAGAAAATTAGAATATTACTGAAGACCAATAAAAACAAAGGATTTATAGAAATGTTGGCCAACTGAAAAGTATGAACATGAAAAGTATGAGCATGTACAGCACTCAGTATTTAGTTGGGCCTCCTTTGGCCTGTATTACTGCAGCAATGCGGCGTGGCATGGAGTCGATCAGTCTGTGGCACTGCTCAGGTGTTATGATAGCCCAGGTTGCTCTAATAGTGGCTTTTAGCTCTTCTGAATTGTTGGGTCTGGTGTATTGCATCTTCTTCTTCACAATACCCCATAGATTTTCTATGGGGTTAAGGTCAGGAGAGTTTGCTGGCCAATTAAGAACAGGGATACCATGGTCCTTCAACCAGGTACTGGTAGCTTTGGCACTGTGTGCAGGTGCCAAGTCCTGTTGGAAAATGAAATCTGCATCTCCAAAAAGTTGGTCAGCTGCAGGAAGCATGAAGTGCTCTAAAACTTCCTGGTATGTGGCTGCGTTGACCCTGGACCTCAGAAAACACAATGGACCAACACCAGCAGATGACATGGCACCCCAAACCATCACTGACTGTGGAAACTTTACACTGGACTTCAAGCAACGTGGATGAAGTGCCTCTCTTCTTTTCCTCCAGACTCTGGGACCTTGATTTCCAAAGGAAATGCAAAATTTACTTTCATCAGAGAACATGACTTTGGACCACTCACCAGCAGTCCAGTCCTGTTTCTCTTTAGCCCAGGCAAGACGCTTCTGACGCTGTCTGTGGTTCAAGAGTGGCTTGACACAAGGAATGCGACAGCAGAAACCCATGTCTTTCATACGTCTGTGTGTGGTGGTTCTTGAAGCACTCACTCCAGCTGCAGTCCACTCTTTGTGAA